CGCTATCTTCTCCATCTATCACGGGCTTTTTAAAACCTGCGATACAGTGCAGCCGCAAAAAGTGAACTATGATATAGTGAGGGAGGACTGTAAATGTAATAGCCTACAAGAAGATAATGATGACTTCATTAACATAATAAATATATCAACTAACTAACTCATGGGCTTTATTGCTTTATATCTGTGTACTGTAAGAATTATTCCTGTGCAGTCTTATGTCTTACATCTTACACCAAAGAGCAGCAGATCTACAATGAGGGGGATTTAGAGATGCCAAGGCTACCTGCACATGAATGTCAGGTACTTAGGGGTTAATGAGGACCAATATCCACAAGGAACAGAAGACTTCTATTGTGCCCTTCACTATGAAAGCCTGATCTAGAAGAAAGACCTTTCTGGTGAGCAAGGAATAAAGTTAAGCAAAGTAAATAGACTTGAGGATCCTCAAGTGAATGTTAGCCCTTCAGTTTCCTGGTCCACCTGACACACCTGAGGCCTCTTGTCCACTTTTCCCAGGGACTTCCTCCAGAATCTCTAAATCAATTCTGTCAACTTCCCATAGTGTCCCAACACATTGCCTTTCTTCTCCAGGGTCAGGGCATAGAACACCTGCTTATTTTTATCACCCTAAGTGGCAACTGTTTGTAGGGGACTCAAAATTTCATGACTGGGAGGTCAGAGGTTTGTGGGGTTAAGACTTGCAGTCCTCCCATTTCCTGTTCACACGTGGGCTGGTGTACACTGAGGAGCACAGACCTCAAGGATGGCCAGCACACCTGCCCCGTGTGGGGAGGGTCAGGAAGAACTTAGAGAAGAGGTGGCCATCATGGCTTTCAGGCAGTTCTTTCTTGGACTGGCCATGTGTGACATCAGGTCCCCAGGTAAAACTTGTGTACTGTGAAAGAGCCTCCCACCCAGTAACCTCTATTCCTGCTGCAAAGGAGCTCAGAATGGAAGGAGAGTCCTTGATATGTGAGAATCTTCTCCTGGTGAGGAACACCACTGGGTCCCACCTGGAAGCCTCCTGGTCCAGGACAGGTCACAGAAGCAGAGCCTCAGATGCCTTTTTTGTACACAGCCTGGGTAGTCACTATGACACTGAGAGGGCTTGAAGCCACTTTTCAGTGGTTGCTTTTTTTTTTTGTAATTTACTCAGTCTTTACTTTGTCACTGAATCTGTTGGCCTTCCAGAACTCTGGGATTGGGGTGGGGTATGTGCTTGTAATTTGATGTGTAAGACTTTGTGTAGCTTTGGATAACCTTCCTCCTAAGTTGAGATTCTTGGCCACAACACAGAAAAAAGATGTAGCCATCCTAGGACAATGGCGTTATAGCAAGAGTTGCTGAACAAGAGGAAGGGAGCCATCTCCAATGCCCCAGACCCTTTGCTGGTAGTAGGTCTCCCTTGGCAGTTCACTGCTCATTGCAAGAAGTCATGCCATACTTAGGGAACTGAGGGCTGTGGGCAGGGGCTAGTGAAAGAGCAAAGAAGAGGTGCAGCCACTCACATGTGTTCCTGAATTCTCAGGGCAACCTTCTCAGGGGCTCTTCAGTGCACAAGTCAGGGAGGGGGGGGGAGTGGTAACATGCCTTATGGATTCTGTCAGATGAAGCACATGGGTGATGTGGGAACCATCACAGATCCTTGCAACCTTCGGTAAAGCCCAACATATATCTTTCCATTTTTGATACTTGTTCTCAAACTGAAAGAAATTTATTGCCAAATAAATTTCTTAATGAGTTGGATGAGGCCTACTTTTGATGTTATATATCCTGGAGAGCATCATGTATTGGTAAAATAAGGCCCTTTTACTCACGTTGTTCATTGTTAGGGGTCATGATCTGAAAAGCACTTGTCACTTGATTGAGCAAATGTGAAAAAATAAGCCTGTGGTGCCCATGTCACTGAGGTCCATGTGTTCTTTTGGAGAAGGGCCAAGACTGACAGAGGAATCTGCCACTCAGAATCATTTCTAATGGTTTATCACCCATGGCACATAGGCCCTTCTTTGATTTTATTCAAAGCTGGGACACACAGACCCTCTCTGTAGAAATAAATTGTGTCCTGCAAAACACTGCTCACACTGAGTTCTTTGCAGACTGGAGTGGCACATGTAGAGTCAATGCCATGTAGAATCTGACAAATGACGTGTATGTCATCCATCTTGGTAAAAGGAAACAAGGATGTTAATGCAGGGGAGGTGACACATGAAAACAAGTGTCACCAGATGATACATGAATTGTATCATTATGTTAACATGGACATCATGATCCAGAAGTGATGATGTCTCTAAAGTTTTCATCCCCCTTGTTCCTGTTCCCCAGTTAGACACAGAGAGCTGAAGGAGCCCTGGCATTTCCACCACTGCTGAGGGACACCTGTCACCAGTGTGTCCTGCTGAGGACCGTGTTCCAGGGATTCTGTTTGTCCTGGGATAACTAGTACCCACCCCACCCACCACCCTCCTGTACTCTTAGTTCTAAAATGCAGTATATAGGATTAGAAAATAACAATACCAGTCATTTAGAAGTGATCATAAAACAGGATGTAAAGTGATTGAAAAGTAATGATCTTAGTTCAACTAAAAGACATCCCACTAGAACCAGAGCCAAATTCAGAAGCACACTCAATTAGCATTTAGAATAAATCAACATTGCACCTTGGGAAAACCCATTATATTCAGTTTGATATTTGCCTTTGAGGGTAAGGTGGTTTGTTTTGTTTGACTTTGCACTTACATTTTTCTTTTTAGTTGCGTAATTGAAACAACTCACTTTTACTGCCAGTTACTCTGCTGAGCATTGTTCCTAAATTAATTTATTCACCCTCAAACAAGTTGTTTGCTTCCAGCTTTTTTGTACAGATGAGGAAACTGAGGCTGACAGGGTCAGCACCTTGCTGAAGACCTCAGAAGTAGAAAGTTCCAGAGCTGAGTTTGAACCCAGGTAGGCCCTAAAATTGGGCACTTCTTCACAACTCAATAAGGGAACACATCCTAAATTTGAAAGATCCAAACAGAATTTTCAAATTCAGAACAATGTGTAAAATTGCCCCATTAGAATTCTGCTGTGGGCAGGATTGAAACTCTACAGTAATCTGAGAGTAGTTGACTTTACATTTTCATATATTTCTTCAAAAACAAGATGTGTGCCTTGGTGTTTTCAGATTCCTTGTTACATCTGTGAGTAAATTTTCACAACTTTATCTTTCAAGCTTTGCCTGTTTGAACTGTGTGAACTTCAGTGTATTCTAGTTGCTGCTGGAGTTCCTGTTGCCAGTGGTGCCCTTATCTCCAATGCATCACAGGGTGAGACAGGTTTATGGGAAGAAATGGTGGTTCACGGGCTGCCCTGCATGTAGCTCCATCACCAACTTTCATCTGTTCTCACAGTTTTTCCCAGCAGGTTATCGTAGATTTCTCTGAGAGGTGATCCACCACCTACATACCATGACCAATTCATTGGTTCTTTTTTTGTTTGTTTTTTTTCTTCTTGTTTGAAGAAAATGACACCAACAGGATGTAGGCCTTCATTATTTACTAGTCTTCAGTTCTAGGACAGTTTTAGCTTCATAGAAGATGGAGCACAAAGTATACCCTTTGTATACAGCACTGCTGTCTACCCATATTTCCAGACAGGCACAGCTTTCCCTGCAGTCAGCATCACACTCCTGGTGACATCTTTGTGCAGACAGAGTGTAATTGCTGAGTGGTGGGATCAGAAGACGTTTAGTTTACAAGAAACAGCCACACTGCCCTCCAGAATGGCAGCCATGTTTGGCATTCCCAGCAGCAAAGAAGAGCAGGTCCCATTGCGCCACAGAGGAAAGCACTGGGGCAAGTGGTGTCGTGTTGCCTCAGCCTCTCCTGCATCCCCATGGTGGCCTGGGCACAGCAAGCCCTCTGCTTCACGTGGCCCAGTCTGTCTCCAGTCACAAAATCATCCCTGTCCCACTGTATGCTGGTGTTTCAAGGTAACACACAGGGGTTCCTGTGTTCCCTACCAGCCCCCTGGTTCATGGTGTCTGGTCTTCCCTCATGCTGTTCCCACGGAAGTGATTCTCCCAACAACACTTCATGTCAAACTCTGTTTCTCCTAAGAGGACCTCCAACATGGTCTTCTGTACCCATACTGCTTGCTAACACCTTTCCTCAGAACAGTCTGTGCCCCACAGGCTGCCTTGGGATGTCTGAGTGTGGTTGGGGACAGGAGGAGGACAGGCCCTGTGCACACTGCTGCTGCTGGGACCCTGATGACCCAGCAGGTGCTATCTTCATTACAGACAAGAGAACTGTCAGTTAAGAAACTTTTCTGCTTGATTTGATGTAACCATCAATACACCTTGTTTCAACCATTAGATGATAGAGATAGCAAGGTACTCTTCCTGTTGGCATGGAGTTCTCTCCAGACCCAGACACCACTGATATCTTCACAAGTGTCCCATGTCATGGACCTTTCTCCCTCAACTTTCCAGAGTGACCCTTAACCTGCATGCATCCTTTTGCACTAAGATGAACCAGAAGCAAACATACCAGGACTATGTGCCTGGGCTCTTCTCTGTGCCAGATGCTAGGCTGAGACAGATGAGCAAAACCAGTCATTGCCCACAATTAAGAAGCTAATTATAAGGAGGTTCCCATCAATCAACTGATTGTACATTTTTGAAACTCCAGTTAAGAAGCTGAATCTTGGTGAGTGCCTGCTAATCAAGTGATCATAGTTTTGTAAAACTTTAGCTACAGTTTTTACCACCAAGCAGATGGGCATTGTGCCAGCAATGCTGACGACTGACCAAGTCATCGGGGATGTGACCATGATGGTTGGCATCAGGCCTCAGTGAGGAAGGGAGGGCTGGAAGGCAGGCCTTGTGTCCTGCCACATCAGAGTGGGCAGGACCTGTGAGGCTCACTGGGTACAAATAGCCTGGGCTCCCCCAGCTGCTGAGTCCAGCTGCTAATTGCTCATTGTGTGCTAAAGCTGAACTCAAAGCAACATCAACCATGAGACTGTCCCTGTGTGTCCTGCTGGTCACTCTGGCCCTTTGCTGCTATGAGGGTGAGTATCACTTCTGAATCAGACTACCACCAGCCCAAGTAAGTAACCTTTTATGAAACAGGTCATTTTTGTAAGGAAGAGGGATGAATGGATCAGAATCCAAACCAGCCCTGCTATTTGTGGACTAAGCCACTGAACTCCAAAGTCTCCTGCATCAGTTCCCAACACCCTGGAACTTTCCAGAAAACCCTCTCAGGCCACTTTGAAGAACTACCCATCTGAACCCTGACTCCCTGTCTAGGACTTATGTTCAGAAGCAGCAGGGTGTGATAAGATTTGGATGTGCATCATGGTTCTGCCATCAGCAGCACTGTGCTTGAACAAATGTTCAACCTCCAAGTCTCCTCTCATCCTTGGTTTCCACAGCCAACAGCAAGAGCTGCTGTGATCGTGTAGTGAGAGAAAGGGTGTCAGAAGCCAGCTCTGGGTCTCATCAGCTCTTCTCCTTCCCAGAGTCTTTGGTGCCAGTGGAGTCCACAGCTCTCAAACTCTGTCTTTCAGACTCATAGAATGCTGCACCTAAGAGGGTTTTTGGAGAGTTTTCAGTTCAAGAAGAGCCAGTGTGCTATGGCTCTCTCAGGAATCAGTCAGGAGCAGCTGTGCTCAATACACCACAGGCCCTGCTCCTTTTCTGGGAATCCACCTAGGATTGGAAGAACCAGTAAAATCTGAGGGCCACACTAGCTGTGGTTCTAAGAGACTTCTAGCCAGTCTTCCAACAATACTTCGTTGTGTTGTCACACCCTTGTTTTTGAATATTTCTCTTCCTTCTGGTCTTCTGAATGTCTCCTGTTTCCACATGTTTCATCTGATCTGACCTCTCCCATCTCTGCAGAGCTGCTGTCTGATCAGGTCATATGGGAGCCTAGCTGGGCACATGCCCTGCTGCGGGTGGTTAAAGATATGGGGGCAGAGTGTGGAGTGGGGATGGAGAACTCAGACTAAGAAGCATGGTGACTTCAGTTCTGGGGGAAATCCCCTTGGAGCCGAAAGCAGGCACCCATTGCCAACCCCACCATCTCAAAGGAATTCTGTATCCAATGAAGACCAGAGGAGCTACTTGTGGTTGTTGTGTAAGCCTCAGATTCCTTTCTGACCTTCTTAGCTGTCTTCACCCAATGACATAATTCTACTGTTTAATTTGCTCTCAAAAGAGTATCTGTCAACATTCCATCATTGCCCCTGCTTCTTTTCAGACTTGCTCCCTGTTCTCTGATCTCTGTGAGATTCTCCTGTCCCACTCTGCTGGAAAGACTGGTCACTGAAAGGTTTTCTCCCACGATGTCCAAGACCGAAGAATGTGTCAGTCTTATGGCAGTACAAACTCTAATTTCTGAAATCCAGGGAAAGTGAATTTCAGCAGAGCAGGAGAGCCTTGGAAAGGCCTGAGTGTACTTTATGCAGTAAAACAGCTGAACTCGGGCTCAGTGAACCTGTTTTATAAGACCAGCCCTGGTGCAGCTACATGATTTGTGCAGTCACAACTTCTAGGATTTTCCATTGTCATTGTTACCAATATGGGATTGGACAGTAAAACTCCTGGTATTCCCTGCCTAAGGTCAGGTGACCATGGGGAAAATGTGACTTCCTTCAATCAATTGTATTCCTTTTCCTCTGTTACAGCAAATGCAACAGTTTGTCCAGCTTATATGTCTCAAGTTAGAAGCTTATTATTTGACCCTGCAAAGCTTTACGATATCAATCTTCTGAAATTTCTTCTGCCTAGAGAATCTGTTGATGCCAAGATGGGTGTGAAGCAATGTATAGATTTTATGCCTAAACAGGACAGAGAGAACATTTTCAACGTTTTGGTAAATTGTCCCGTCTTCCTCTGTAGGGGCTTCTGTTCAGCTGAATGGCCAGGAGAAAAATCATGGTGCTACACTGTGGGCACAGGGTGGGGAGGCACCGTGGAGGCACATGCCCCACATCTCATGTCTGACACAGTGGCCTGTGGCAACAGGGTGGATAATGACATGACACCTGCTGAGCTAGACTAAAGCTGCATAGTACACGTGGCATGTTCCTTCTTCTCTGGTCACCTCTTTGGGCATGTGTACCCACAGTGTCCTGGGGAGGACAACCCGGACCCAGGTGGTGATAAGGGCAGAGGCAGCTGCCTCCCTGCCTGGGAGGTTTCAGAGGTCAGAGGGCCAGTTCCCTCACACAGTGGCTCAGTCCCTGGGGAGTGTCATGGAGTTTGGGGAGAGTTGGAGAGGAGAGAGCAGGACTGAATATGGCCCAGTCTGTCTGTCAGTATGGAGGGGTGTCTGACTGGGGGCTCCACCAGCTCTCACAGAGAGAGCCCCTCCCTGTACCTCTGTCCTCATCAATCACAGCCAATGAACAGAGACCCTGCCTGTTACATCCTCTGCATCCTCTCGGGGAGCTGAAATACTTCTGTTATGTGTGGGGATAGAAATCAGATATTTACAATTGTTTTTCAAATTGTCCACCCCTTGAATGAAGTTGGGTTTGGTACAAATTCCCACACAGGCTAGAAACTCAGTGTGATGTCCACGTGCTGTCAGGTTGATTTCCTCAAGGACACAGTGCATCTTCTGTAGGCAGAAGGTCCCACACTCCCCCATCTTTATCTCACCCTGCATTCACTTTGGAGTGAAAACATAGAGCTCTCACACCTGGACTCAGAGGAAGGAAATCCTGGGCTGCTCAGTGCAACCCCTGCACCTCTCCTGGCTCCATTAGAGACCTGATTCCCAAGGCTGAGTCACTCGGGGTTTATTTGTCAGGCTATAGACATGTTATTCCCTGTCCTGCATGGTTTGTTGTGACTGCACCAGGACTATTGAATTCCCCAACCACTTGGTTCTCCTGCCTAATGGCTCCATGTTTCTTTACTGGGTGTGATGTAATTCTCATGTCGGTGTAAACAGAAGTCCCTGTGAACATGTCATCTCCAGGGGCAGCATGACTGACATCCCCTGTCTCTCTTTATTTCAGAAAAATATAGAGTCTGAATGTAACAAGTAAACTCTAAAAAAAAATGTCTTACACACGAGAGCCTCTGTCATTCAAGGATGATGTGATCACCCCCCGGAAAATGTGTAGGTTTCAAAGTCTTGCTTCAATAAAGTACTTACCCTGCACTTCTCTACCTGTCTTGCTTTCATCCAAGTGTCTGTCCCTGGAGTTGGGGTGGTTCACCTCATGAAATGGCCATTAAGTAGTGTCCACAGTACATTCTAGAGACTCAGTGTCCAGTGACCACAGTGCCCTGAGGGAGGGATCCCAGAGAGACTGCTGACTCAGGAGCAATCCCTCATCCTCTACCGATGCCCAGTCACAGGGCTGGGAAAGAATAGGAGGGTGAGTGGTTAAAGTCACTCCAAAGGGTCTTGCCCCTGGCCTGGCTGAGGGAAGTGCCACCTCCCTGAGCAGTCACGCAGTTCCCAACCAGCAGCCCCACAGCCATTCCATCCACATCAGAAGCACAAACAGCCTGCCTGGTCCTCACCCCTCCCTGGATATCCATTCTGGGAAGATGCAGTGTAATTTGTTTTCTGTTCACTTCTCACTTTGTAGTGAATCTTGGGGTTCACCCTCAGGGAAATCTTTGCTCTCTGTACACTCACATTGTTCAGTACACTTGGAAACTCTTCCTTCTTCCAATTCCCCCTAAAGCCACAGAAATAAGCACCCTTCTGCCATCTGGGCAACAACATGCACTCAGTCCACACTTACTGTAAGAAGAATGGTCCAATGCACTGTGTCTCTGCCCATCCCACCCTTCCCTTGGGAGCCCTGCCCAGGTGATGGCCCTGACCTACAGGGAGAAAGCTGACTCAGAGCACTGGGCACACTCTAGGCCCCAGGATCAATTTCCAGTGCCTGCTGGAATAGAGCACCACATGCTTGGTTGCTTTAGAGAAGGTTTTTCTCCAAGCGTGGGGGACAAAAGAATAACATGGAATTCTCTGCCCAAATCATAGCATCAGGAGAGCCACACTGACCCTGGAGAGGCAAGGTGAACATCTGTTCCTGGCTGCTTTCACCTTTGAAGGCTGATGGCAGACCTGGTCTTGTCCCACATTGCTCTAGTCTCTGTCCTGGGAGAGGACCTTGCCTTCTCCCTTTCTGTGTGTTTACAAATCTCTCTCTGCCTCTTTTCATCAAGATATGCCTCTTTTAATCATTTGGAGGTCACTAGGAAATTCAGAATTTCTCCCTACCTCACAATCTGCACTCACATCACATCTGCAAAGGCCCTTGTACCCTGGTGGATAAACAACTGGCCCTGAGTTTAGAATATTGATTTGGTGAGGGGTGGTGGTGGTTGTGGCAGGGTTTTATAAGCCTATTTCACTTCATCTGCTTCCTGACACCTAAGAGTCCACTAAGTTCTGCCCCCTCCATATGCCAGCATTTCTTGGACATCTTGGGCTTCCCATCTGCATAACTGTGTTCACTGTCCAGTCCCAGGCCTTTTTTAGCACCTTTCCCAGGTCCTCTGAATAGCCTCTGGGTCTGAGAGGCCCCTCCTGCCATATACCCTCCCTATCAACTTCACTGTGACCCTCCAAGTGGAATTCCAACCTTACTTCTGCAACTTGAAAACACTAGAGGTTATGGGTTTCTAAATGTTTCAAGGAAGAGTACTTATTAGTAGTACTCTAATAATATACTCTGATAATAGTACTCTAATTATGAAGGATGTGTGAAGGAGAAGCTATGACTCAGAATCCAAAAATTAAGAGTTGTTCACTATTATTAATTATGCCCAAAGTCTTTACAATAAGTGTGCGTTTTTGATCACTTAAGGGAACATGTACACTTATATTAGTCTCTGTTTTCTGAATAAATTATATACTCAGTCCACACAATATACTTTGTAAGGACAAGGACTTGTGACATCCTTGGGACAGCATGAGAAAAAGATGAGGCCATTCAGGGAGCAAAGGAGTCATGGATCGCGCTGCGCATGAGGCCTTGCAGGACTTGGAGCCTAGACCCCTTTGGCCACATTGTCCTGCTCACCAGGTTCTCTACTCAATGATCCTTGTCCATGGGCCATTTCTCCTGTGTTACGTTGGGTAGCACCTCTGCACCATGCTTTTGGTGGTCCCTTTGCCTCCACAAAGGAGGTATTGTCCCCGGCACAGGACACCTGACTACCATAACTTGAGGCCCCTTTCAGATCCCCTCCTCAGAGGGGCCTTCTCTAACTCTCACATCCTACAATAAACGTTTACACACAGACACACAGGTTACACTCTCTGACACACAGATGGTGCACATGGTGGCACACACAGCCCACCTGTAGATATGCAGTCACACGGAGACAAACGCACAGAATGGTGCTGCCAGCCCTCTGGCAGCACTTTACTTTTCTGTGGTCTGGTATTCACAGCAGAAAGTTCATTGGAGACCATACCGACTGAACTGACAGTACAAAGGCACCAGTGTCCTCATTGTTACTATTTCTAAAACACCTAAGACTTCACATGCATCGAATAGCCCTATGGGTGACATTTCCCCAAAGGCTGACAATTGCAGTCTCATTTTGCCCTGACTCATCTCCAGGAAGGTGACAGACTATTACCACCACTGTCAGGGGGATGAAGGATGCCCTACACACTGCCCGTCAAGGCTGCCTTTGTATTTTCTCAGGATCAACTGGGAAGACATCAAAAGACAGTGAGGCCCAAGCCCCACTCCAGGATCCACATGTGGGGACATCTACAGTAGAACCCATGTGATTCCCCTTCCTCACCTCCACATTCTAGTGGTGCAACACCCAGGAAAATGACTTTGGTGGCTGAGCTCCTTACTGATCTGGGAAGGAGACAGCAAGGAGGTGCATGGCAGTCAGAGTGTCCAGCTGCATGGACCATCACCTGGAGACCTTCCCCTGGTCTCTCCTCTATCCCTGTGAGCCTAGCCTCTGCAGGTCATTGGGATGTTTCCCTGTTGTCACACTGAGAGATTTAGGGTGTTGTGAAGGAGCGTTTTGGTCAGGACTTGCTGGCCATGTGAGACATGAGAGATTGCCCTGCACCAGCACAGAGGTGGAGTGGAGATTTGAGAGAGGGATGGATTGCTCCATGGGAGTGTCACTGAATGGACCATGCTACTACTGGAGATGGTGAAAGAACTGACTGGGACTGTGTCCAGTCAAAGTGCACGTACACTCAAACAAGGGTGAAATGCCTGCCTTAGGTCTGTGTATTTTACCAAACACACAGGAGACAGTCCCTTGGACAGTAGCTCTCTGAGAGGCAGCAGAGAGGTGATGGTGAATGGGAAGAGGGGCTGTCTGTCAATTCTCCTGAACACCCTGTCCCAGTGTTGTAGACAAGTGATGTCTAATCCTGTCTGATGCCAATTCTCTGTTTGATTTTCCTCATGGGTTTCCCTTCTTCAAAGACAGCACAGATTTGTAGAAAGTCTGGCTCAACCCGCTCACTGAGTCTCTCCAGGTAGAAAAGATGGACTTCTGTCAAGTCTCTTGCCTTGATCTCTGAGGCCTCTAACTCTTCCTGGGGACACACAATGTCCTCTCTGTCTACACTCTGCTCCTTAAACTGTCTTACATTCTGTGACAGAATCAATGTTCAGAACCCAAAGCTCTGCTTTGTCATATAAGCTTACTTAATGCAAATGTAGTGGCTCTCCCTCTGGTGACATGAGTGAGACTCATGACTCCACTCAGAAATTAGTGTATTCAGGACTGTGTGATCCTTGAACTTCACCTGGGGTCCGAGCAAACACTTCTTCCTCTCTCTCCTTTACTTCCACCTTTGCTCTCCCATATGCTAATCTTCCTTTCTGACATATTAGGGCATTAGGATGGGGAGAGACAAGAAGACAAGCAAAATCTTTCCCAACCTTTATGGAAGAAAAGCAAGGATGGTAAATCTCTAAAACATAGTCAATTTTCTGGGGTACTTTTCTTGCAAGTGTGAAGTTTGATTTCCAAACGCATGCCAAGGTGTACGTGGTTCCCAATTGTGCTGGGTCAGTGAGAGGCTGGAATCCTAAAATGTTCACCTTGCAGCTTTCCCCAGGCTCTGGTCTGTCTTTGGATCAGCAGCAATTGTCTGAACAGCTACAGCGGCTGCAACAATTCTGTTCTGTGTCTCTCTGAGCTCTTGCATGTGCAGCAACTGCAGAATTTGAGCAGCTTCATCAAGAACTGCATCTCCTGTGTCAAACCAAGGCTATGCTCCTCTAAAGCAACTGTCAATCAACCCTTGTATTGTCTGCTTTGCTTTAGCAACTGCACCTGTATCATGTGAATCTGGACCTAACAGCATGGGACCTTGAGCATTACCAGGTGATGCTGATGACTTAGAATCTGAAGGTCAGCCAGGGGTGTTAAGCCAGCCTTAAAATCGGCATTATGCACATGCAAAATGATTAGTGCTTCCGTATTTTTAGCTGCACTGTCAGCCTCTTTTATATTTTCAGATACTGAGTCCTTGAATCATTCAGTATTATGTCCATATTCACGTGTAACAGCTAAGCCAAGGAGCCAGTCAGTTGCTTTTGAGATCTTAAAACTTAAAAAGAGAGCTAACACCTATGAGATAATTTTCAAAAAACATGGGCCTGGAGGCCCTCTGGACATTGCTTAAATAACTGAGATTTCAATCTTATATTCTCTGAGTTTTTGGTCTGTACGCCAAACAATAAAGTTTCTATATTCCATTTCACCTCTACAGATGAAGCTGGCAGAGTTATGATAGTTGAGGACCATCAGCTTGCCTCTCAACCTGGTTTCTCACCCTGGTCTTCCGGGCTCAGTTGAGAAGGTGAGGCAAGGATATGAATGCCAAGCAAGAACTTAATCAACAAATACTCCTTTAAGTCTGTTCCAAGTTCTGTGGCCCAAACAGAACTTTCTCTCATGGATCTTCAGGAAGCTCATATTACAACAATCTGGTCTTGTCTCATGGTTAATATACATTTACAGTAAAACAAAGTGTTCTGGAACAGTTAAAAATACGACAGCAGGAAAATGTCATAATGCT